GGAGTTGGAGGTTGCTGTGAGCTGTGACACTACGGCACTCTACCGAGGGTGATAAAGTGAGACTCCGTGTCTACAAAAAAAAAAAAAAAAAAAAACTGTGTGAGGAAGAAAGCAGCCCTCCAGGGAATAAGAGTTTAAGAGATTTTCTTGTCCCTGGGTGGGAGGAAAATACAATGAGACCTAAACTTTCTTCCTGAATTTTCTCTAGCTTTCTTTAGGTCTCAGCCCAAAGGTCTTCTCTACTTCACCTCCCTTAAATCTGCAGCACCCTGCCCCTCACCTCCCTATTTGCTTTTGCTCCAAAGCACCTGACACCTTCTAACATTCTAGAGAACTAGATTACTTGCTGCTGTTTTTTGTCTCTGCCTTTCCAGAAGGTGAGCCTGCCGGGGGCAGGAGTTTGTGTCCTACACGGGGAGCTCAGGCAGGACCAGCAGGGTGAGTTAGGGCCTGAATCTTCCAGTTCTCTACCCTGTGACTTATACAACCCGAGCCTTGCATCTAACATGCCTCTTTTGATATTGGGGTTCCTGGGCTCCCAATTCCTTTCTCCTGCAGCTGACTCCTTACAGCTTTTGGAATCTCTCCCTTCTTTCATTCTGACATCCGTGCCCCTGTAGGTTGGGCCCCTCCAACGTGGCACCTAAGAGTCACCAGGAACCAGAGTAGCACATGGCTTTGGCTATTCCCTCCCATCCTCCCAGGGCAAGTAGGCACAAACCCCTATGGGATTAGCCCTACACTCTGCCACATTAAATGTCAGGGGCACTCACAGCCGCACAGCAGTAAAGGCCATGCCCCCACCTCCCAAGACCCTTGATTTCCTCAGTAGGAAGTGACAGAAAACATTTTTTCTAGTCAAACCCATTCAAATATGGAAGAGTTGGCAGCAACAGCAACATCTGCATGACAATTTCCCAATGAAAGCACTGAGGTCTTAGGGCAGCGCTTGGGGCACAGTGGGTAGGGTGCCGGCCCCATATACCAAAGGTGGCAGGTTCGAACCTGGCCCCTGGCCAAACTGTAACAAAAAAAAAAATAGCCAGGTGTTATGGAGGACACCTGTAGTCCCAGCTACTCAGGAGGCTGAGGCAAGAGAATCACTTAAGCCCAGGAGTTGGAGGTTGCTTTGAACTGTGAGCTGTGATGCTACAGTACTCTACTAAGGGTGATAAAGTGAGACTCTGTCTCAAAAAAAAGAAAGAAACAAAGAAAGCACTGAGGCCAGACACTAGTGCTAGAGAAGCTGCCTTTGAGCCCTATTCCCCCCAATTCCCTACTCCCTGGGGTGCCCGCATTCTCCCTCTGGCCACTAGATTTGTTGAGGCCCAAGGTGATCTCAGTTCCTTCGGTGCCCTCCTCACTATCTTAGAAAGTGGCTGAGATTGGGTGGCGTCTGTGGCTCAGTGAGTAGGGTGTTGGCCCCATATATTAAGGGGAGCACGTTCAAACCCGACCCTGGTCAAACTGCAACAAAATATAGCCGGGCATTGTGGCGGGAGCCAGTAGTCCCAGCTACTTGGGAGAGAGGCAAGAGAATCACTTAAGTCCAAGAGTGTGAGGTTGCTGTGAGCTGTGTTGCCACAGCATTCTACCGAGAGTGACAAAGTGAGACTCTGTCTAAAAAAAGAAAGTGGCAGAGATTTTTGGGTTTCTCAAGGTTGATCTGATCACTCCAAAGATGTGGATTTTTAGGGATAAAAACAACTGACCTTAACGCCCAGTTAACCCACAGATGGTTTGAGGGGGGAAGAGGAGGGGCTGGCTTGGGGTCATGCAGCTAAAAGCAGGAGCCCCACCTCAACACAAACAGACCTGACCCACCACCTGCAGTGTCAGCCCCTGCCTGGATCTTTGCCACCACATGGCAGAGCTGAGCCAGTGGGGCAGGGGCAGGTAGGAGTGGAGCAGGACCCCAGACCCAGGACCCACATATTGCAGCCATTTCCTCCTACCTGCTTTGAGCCTCCTAGGCCAGCCTGTTAGGGTCTGTTGGGCTGCAGGACTGCTGGGGGTGACAGCTCTGGCATCCCACACAGTCGCGGGTGGCCTGGCTGGCAGGGGTCCCTGTGGGGAGAGCAGGGATTGGGGCGGGGTGGGGGCGGGGGTGGTGTTGGATTCTGCGGGCTCTGAGCTCCCGCCCAGAACCCCCACTAGCCTGAGGCCTGAGAGCAGCCACTCGCCACTCCCTCCTGAGAGCCCACCACGGGCTGCCCTCCCCGCTCCTGCGGGAAGAGGAGCCTGCAGGGAACCGACTGCTGGACCAGGACGCTGTCTTCTTGGGTGCAGGTTTGGCCAACATCAGGGGCCTAAGGGCTTAGGATCGGGGGTGGGGGTGCTGCCAAGATATGGGGAAAGGAAGCCTGGGTCCCAGATGGACCCTAGGCAAACAGCCTAGCCATGGGTCTACTTAAGGAGGTGGGGGTGGGTTGTCTGAGGGATAGGGGCTGGGGATCGGACATCTGGGTCCTCACAGGCAGGGGCCGCCTTCTGGATCCCTCAGGACCATGAGGAAACTCACAGCCTGATTCCCCAAGGTGCTAAGGACCAGAAGGTGGTACCCCCAAACTATCCAGCAAGAGATCTATGGGACATTGAGAGCCAGGTCCTTAGGGAGGCTGGAGCAGAGGCGCCAGGCAAACACCCGGAATAGGAGCCAGCACAAAATGGCGCCAGGCTCCTTGGGAGGGACACAGGGGGACGCCCCTCATCTGAAGCGGGGGAGGCAGAGTCTGCGTGTGGCAACAGCAGTGGGGACACAGGGGGCTATGAAATCAGGCTGGGGGAAGGTGTGACCCATCCCCTAACCCCCAGGGAACCCTATAGACTCCCAGCCCAGGTGCAGGCCTGGGTGCAGATTTGGAGCAGGTGCCTGGGCAGGGGCACCCAGAAGGCTTCAAGATTCCCAGTCCAGAGCGAGCTCCTCACAAGAGTTTGCCAGCTGTGAAAGAGGTGGGGGGGGGGAGCATTTCAGAGCTGAGTCCTTCCTAGTTCTTGCCATCCCTGGTATCTGGAGTTTGCCCCCCTTGGGTACTTTGGCATCTGGGACTGGCCCTGTCACATCCTCCTGCTCTCTCCTCCCTCATTACCCACCACCCCCAGTATCTGTTCCCCCATCTGCTCTGGGGACCTTTGCATAGGTGAAGATTGTGGGGACTCTGATCCTCAGGCCCCGAGGTCTAGAATGGCAGGAGGGGACTGAAATGACCCAAAAGTCTCCAATATCTGACTTGAGGTCCCCATATCCAAGTCCTAAAGGGAACCCCAGAATCTGCTTTCCCAACACTACAGGGATTCTGCTATCCTACTCCCCAGCCACCCCTGCCGTTCCTAAGCTCAACCCTCTGGGCTTTGCACTCAGGGTGGGAAAGGGTTAAGAGTAGAGTGCTGGGGGTAGATGGGTGGCTGGGAGGCTGAGGTTGGAGGTTGTGTGTTGATAATCCCCCTCCGTGCCCAGGGTGTGGAAAACAAGGTTAGGGCCCCATGTGGGAAAGGGCCTCCGCCTCTCTGATCCTGGTGGGCTGGGGTCTCAGCCTCTGCTTCTGATCCACCGCCAGCTCTCTGGTCCTCCCCCACCCTCCACAGGGCCTGTGAGGTAGCTACTGTTCTCAGGCCCTCCCAGGTGTCTCTGGGCTCACTTGCCTGCCTATCCCACCCCCAGACCCTGTGAGCTTTGGTCCCTCACTACCTGGGTTCCTGACCCCTCTCTGTCTCAGCTCCTGGCCTCTGCTGTGTTTGCCCCACCATGTGTCAATTTCCCCCTTTGTACTTGATGCTTACCCTAGGCCTGAGCTCATCTCCCTCCTGGCTTTGCTATCTCTGTCTCTATCTCTTCCTCTATTGCTTCACCACTGAGTCTTCATCCATCCCTCCGTCCCCCTGCCTGGCTCAGGCCTATTCTCTGTTTCATCCCTCTCTAGATGAGTGCATCTGTTGGGCTTCTGCAAGGCTTCTTGCCCACCCCCTCGCCGCTCCCCAGGGACCCTTGCCCCTTCGACACTGACGGATAACTCTGGGGTGTTAAGCTACGGATTAGTTCAGGCAAAATTCTCAATTTTGCTTGCGTTCTTTCCCCTTTGGGTTATGTAAACAGTAATTCTCCCCAGATGGAACTATTTTCCTCGCTTCCAAGCAGCCTAGAGGGGGCTTGGGCAGGGCGGGGTGGAATGCTGGCTCCACTGGGAAGGAGCCTGATGGAGGCTGATGGCTGCTGAGGTCCCCAGCCCCTGCTGAGGACACCTCCTCTCCTCTCCTCTCCAGGTGCTTGCCCTGCTGTGACCATGTCTGTGACCTTTGCTCTCTTGCTCCTCCTGAGCCAGGCCACTGCTGACCCATGCTATGATTCAGGGGGCTACCCTCGCTTCTGCCTCCCACCAGTGACCCAGCTGGCCAGCATGGCAGCCTCCTGTCCTCAGGCCTGCGCCTTCTCCCCAGGGAACAGCCTTAGCCCTGGGGGCATCTGCAATGGCAGCCTGACCCTGGCCTTGGGTGGCCCCTTCCTCCTGACATCTGTCAGCCTGCGCTTCTGTACTCCAGGAACCCCAGCCCTAGTCCTGTCGGCCGCCTGGGCTGCTGGGGGTCCCTGGAGGCTGCTGTGGCGAAGATCTGCCTGGCCTGGGGCTTTGGGGGGCCCTGAAAGGGTGACCTTCCACTCCATGCCAGGCCCTAAGGCCAGTATGGCAGCCAGCCACCTCCGAGTGGAGTTTGGAGGCCGAGCAGAGCTAGCAGCAGCTGGGCTGAGAGGCCGCTGCCAGTGCCACGGACACGCGGCCCGCTGCGCCGCCCGGGCCCGGCCCCCCCGCTGCCGTTGCCGCCATCACACCACTGGCCCAGGCTGCGAGAGCTGCCGCCCATCCCATCGTGACTGGCCATGGCGGCCTGCCACACCAACGCACCCCCATCCTTGCCTACGTGAGTCCTTGGCCTCTCCCTACCCTGCTTTCTCCACCCTCCCATGCCACTGTTACCCTCATCCCTACAAGGGCAGGATGCTCCCTTCTCTCCCCAGAACTGCAAAGTCCTTGCCTCTCCCCACTCTGTTGCAGGTGAAGTCCCTCTCTACACCCTCCACACAGCCTCCCATCTGCCCTCCCCACTTGCCCACATCTCAGCCACATGTGGGCCTGTCTGCCCATCAGGGGTTCCAATCTCCTCCCAATATTCATTGGCCTGTGGCAATGGTAATGATGATGTTAGTGACATTACCTAAGCACCCAGCCCAGGGTCTTGCTGGTTGTAGGTTCTCGGGTAACTTATTGAACAGGACAGCTGGACATTTCCCGACCCCTCACACCAACCACACAAGGAAAGTAGTCATTAAACACATATTTATCAATCAGCTACTATTGTCATCAGGCCCATTCTACAGATAAGACTGAGGGGACTGTGTTGGGAAGCCCCCCTGCACAATAAGTCATGGCAGAGCCAGGATCTGAGCTTGGGAAGCTGAGTTCTGGGCTCTTAGCTTGTCCCTGCCAAGTTCTTGTTGGGTGCTGTCACGTGGGTTGCTTTAGAGCAGACAGGAGAGCAGCAGACAAGAAGGAGCACAGACTCAGTAGCCAACTAGACTACCTGAACTCAAATACCACCTCCTCTGCCTCAGCTGTGTGACCTTGGGCAAGTTACCGAACCTCTCTGTGCCTTGGTTTCCTCCCCCTATCCTATATAGGCTATAGTGAAAATTCAATGAGTTTATATACACAAGGTTTTTAAAATAAAGCCTGATGTAGCACCTCACATGAAGGAAGAGTTCCCTGCCAATGTCATGATACCCTTGGGAGGTAAGGGCTAAGAGGAAGTGTCATTTGCTCTAAGTCTCACTGCCATCAAGGGACCGAACTTGGGGAGCCAGGCCTTTGTAGATGCTATCCAGCTTGACAGGTACCCCCAGGCAGGTCCTGCTCAATGGTCTCTCCCCTCCACTGTACTTCCAGACTAGCACTTCCTGGGTCCTCCTCACTTCCCTCCAGCAGCCCCCACTCAGGGACAATGTCAGCTCCTCCCACCCTCCCACCTCTAGCCTGTGACCCTTGGTAAAGGGTCTGAATGTGTCACAAGGTAACTCTACTCCATCAACAGGCACAAAGATAGACACAGACACACACACTTTCATGCATGCCCACTAGTTCCCTGGCCTTCCCTCTCCACCTCCTGCATTCCTGGCCACTCTCCATCTTTCTTCCCACATAAAGAACATCCTGGACTAACTTACAGACTGTACTACTGTCCTTAGCTCCTTACTCTGGGCTCATCCCTATTCAGGACTTCCCCAGAGACTATCACTGTCCAGGCTTTTTTTGTCCCCCCTGCTAACTCAGGGTCACCACTTAGTCAGACTGTTTCCACCAGCCAAATCTGAAGATCCTTCTCCTGTAGGGGAGACAGGGATGGGATACTCACTTGGCCCCAGTGTGCAGTGGGTTTCATCTGGGGCCTGGCCAGGCTATCCTTCTGAGGATCACCACACATCCCCAGGCTGAACTGGGCACTGCTCTCCAAAACTGGGTAGGAGACTGACCGTGCTGTGGTAGAGAAAGGTGGGGAGTGATGAATTTTTGTGGCTGGGCTTTCTAGACATGGTGGTCTGCATCGTCTCTCCCCTATCTGAGATTTTCAGAGGGAAAGCAAGGTGAAGTTGGGTGACCCTTGGGTTAGGAAGACTCCAAAGCCTGACTTTACCCACTGATAATCTCCATAGCACTACCAGTTCCTTTTTTTTTTCTTTTTTCTTTTTTTGAGACAGAGTCTTAAGCTGTTGTCCTGGCTAGAGTGCCTTAGTGTCATAGCTCACAGCAACCTCCAACTCTTGGACTCAAGTGAGCCTCTTGCCTCAGTTTTTCTATTTTTTTGGTAGAGACAGGGGTGTCATTCTTGCTCAGGCTGGTCTCGAACTCATGAGCTCAACACCCACATTGGCCTCCCAGAGCACTAGGATTATAGGTGTGAGCCACCGCACCCAGCAGCACTGTCAGTTCTAATGCCCACAAAAATCCTGGGAGAAAAGAGTCAAGATCCCCACTAGATAAGGAGAAAAGAGGCTCAGAAAGAAAGTCATGTTTCCAAGAATACACAGCTGCCTCAGATTCCTGATCAGCCCATGACTCCTTTGGAGTCTCTGGAACCTGCCACTCTAGGCTTCTAAAACCTCTTAGAGTCAAAAACCCCTTAAGTCCAGGTCTCTTCAAAGAGTGTCCCACAATCCCTCCAACCCCCTCCCACCTGATATGAGTACCTCACGCTGAGATGCTTGCAAGAAATATAGATCCTGGCTCCAGCAGAAGCCCTGGGGGTCTAGCTCTGGAATCTATGTCATTTTGCTAACAAAAAAAAAAAAATTGTTTTCCTAGTAATTCTGTTGGGTAGTAAGGTACAGCCAATGGGAGGTGGGGAGAGAGGATTGCTTGACCTCAGGAGTCTGAGACCAGCCTGAGCAAGAGTGAGACCCTGTCTCTAAAAATAGCTGGGTGGTGGTGTGGCTGCCTGTCATCCCAGCTACTTGGGAGGCCCCAGGTAAGAGGATCACTTTAGCCCAAGAGTTAGAGGTTGCTGTGAGCTATGACACTACGTACTCTACCCACGGCAACAAAGTGAGACCCTGTCTCAAAGAAAAAAGGGAGGGAGGGAGAGAGAGAGAGAAACAAATAAACCTGATAAATCCTCCCAGGAAAATGCTAAATAATCCTCACATGAGTTGCTTGAGAATTACTAGAGCAGTGGTTCTCAACCTTCCTAATGCCACGGCCCTTTAATAGAGTTCCTGTGGGTTGTGACCCACAGGTTGAGAACTGCTGCACTAAAGTGTGGTTGCTAAGAGCACAGACCCTGGGACCAGAAGTCCTGGGTTAAAATCTGACCTCTGGTGGGTTGGCACCTGTAGCTCCAGAGGCTAAGGCACCAGCCACATAACACCAGAGCTGATGGGTTCGAATCTAGCCCAGGCCTGCCAAACAACAATGACAACTACAACTAAAAAATAACTGAGTGTTATGGTGGGTGCCTGTAGTCCCAGCTACTTAGGAGGCTGAGGCGAGAGAATCACTTAAGCCCAGGAGTTGGAGGTTGCTGTGAGCTATGACGCCATAGTACTCTACCCAGTCTCCAAAAAAAAAAAATCTGGCCTCTGGTTGCACTACCTTGAGCAAGTGATTTCACCTCTCTGTGCCTCAGTTTACCCTATCTATAAAGTAGAGATGATGAGAGTCCCAAACTCACAGAGCCACTATGTAGGTGAAATGTCTAAAGCACCTGGCATGTGGAAGCACAAAACAGCACTGGGCCCGGCTCTGGGTTGAGCACTTTATATCTACTCTATTTCATTTAAGCCTCCTGAAGTAAATACTACACATGCCATTTTACAGTCAAATGAACTGAGCTACAGAAAGGAGAAATCACCTGCTGAAGGAAGACAGAATGGTAGATGTGGGGGTCTGGCTCCACAGCCCATGCCCTCCTCTTATTTAGGCACCCACAGTTTCAGAGAGACCTTCAGGAACCTCACAAGTCCTATTGGGCTTATCCAGCTCCAGTATCCATTGAGTTGGAGCTAGATAAGCTTCATTCCAGATGAAAACAAAGATGTTCTGGGACCCAAGCTTACCCAAGTCCCAGGCAGTTTCTTTCATGTTAAATTCTCCCTTTATTTCTTTTCATGAGGGTAGGGCAGTGGGGAGAAAGTTGGAGACTGGGGAACAGAAAGCCTGGTCCTGAGGTGCCCCGCCCATCTTGCTCCTAGCCTGCTCCTGCAACCAGCACGCCCGACGCTGCCGGTTCAACTCTGAGTTGTTCCGGCTGTCAGGTGGCCTGAGTGGTGGTGTTTGTGAGCGGTGCCGCCACCACACAGCTGGGCGGCACTGCCACTACTGCCAGCCAGGGTTCTGGAGGGATCCCTCACAGCCTATCACCAGCCGCAAGGCCTGCAGGGGTGAGTGTGGTCTAACATCTTGCCTAGGGATGAAGGAGGCAGGGTTAGTCTCCAGAGCCTGAGGGAGGCGGGGCTAGGGACCTGGACCCCTGGGTTTCAGGGAGGATGGGGCTGGGGGCTGGGATTCCTGGGTCTGAGGGAGGAGGAAATGGGGACCTGGACTCCTGGGCCTGAGAGGGGAGTTGGCTGTAGAATTGGGAGGAAGCATCTTGGACCCAGGCACCCTGTGCCCCCAGTTCCTCTCCTCATGCAGCCTGCCAGTGCCACCCTATTGGGGCAACAGGAGGCAACTGCAACCAGACCAGTGGGCAGTGCTCCTGCAAGTTAGGGGTCACAGGTCTGACATGCAACCGCTGTGGTCCTGGCTACCAGCAGAGCCGCTCCCCCAGTATGCCCTGCCAGCGTGAGTCCTCGGGGGCAGGGTCATAAGTCCTGAGGGTGGTGGGAAGGAGACATCCCAGGGAAGAAGGGCTATGAGGACTAGGGCCTGGGGAGACGGGACCCAGAGGCTGAAGGTAGCAACTGAAATTCCAGACTCCTCAGTCTTGGGTAGAAGGGCTGGGGGCCTGTAATCCTAGAGAAGGAGGCAAAGTATTCTTGCACTTTTGGGTTTTAAGGCACTTAACACTTAGAGTCTGGTTGCCTGGATTTCCTGGTGGTGGGGGTGACTAAGAGTTTAAATTTCTTCTTTGGTCTCACAGGAATTCCAGAGGTAACGACCACTCTTGCTACTACTGCTGGTGTTTACAGCTCAGGTAAGACAGGCTAGCAGCAAGAGGGATTAGGGGTGGGCTTGCTATGTCGTCAAGCACATTGAATGGGATGCAAGGGTCACCCAGGGAGCCCAGTTTCAAGGGTTTGGGCACCTCAGATGGCCAGCAACATGGGATGCAGGCATAGGTGGGGTAGTATGCTGTGGTCCAGGCCTTAGGAACCCACTGCAGACAGCCTGACCCTCCCCAGATCCTCAGTGTCAAAACTACTGCAATATCTCGGACACCAGGGTGCATATGAGCCTTTGGACTTACTGCCAGCAGGACTATGGTGAGTGCTGGGGAGAAAAACAGCCAGAGGCTGCACAAAATGATCTGGTGACTGCCTCCAGGTCTCTGGCCTCCAATTTTCTCATCTTAAATGGGAAAGAGTGGGGTGGCGCCTGTGGGTCAGTGGGTAGGGCGCCAGCCCCATATACTGAGGGTGGCAGGTTCAGGTCCAGCCCCAGCCAAATTGCAACAAAAAAATAGCCAGGCGTTTTGGCAGGAGCCTGTAGTCCCAGCTACTCGGAAGGCTGAGGCAGGAGAATTGCCTAGGCCCAGGAGTTGGAGGTTGCTGTGAGCTGTGTGATGCCACGGCCCTCTACCAAGGGTGATAAAGTGAGACTCTGTCTCTACAAAAATAAATAAATAAATAAATAAATAGGAAAGAGTGTTGGATTCTAAAGGGCACTTCCTGATTGGAAGATAAATGGGGGAAGGGCAGTGCGGAGGAGGTATTCACTACCTTCCTGTATCTGCTCTTCTCCCATATTCTTGGACCTGTGGAGTTTCACTGCCTTCTTCAGCATGACATCTCTGAGAAATAGGAGAAAGAGGGAGCGGTTGAATGATAGGGGCCTTTCCTTTCCTAGACCCTTTTTGCCACCCTTCTTGGTCCCAGATTATTTGAGTCTTAGCCCCACTCCCCCACAAAGACTTGCCCCACAATTTCTAACTTGTCAGTCCACACCTGCCCAATGACCCTGGGGCCTGTGACCTCATGTAACTTGGCTCTCTTAGACACTCAGATGTCAGCTGAGCCCACAAATCTAGACCAGCCCCAGATACTTCCCTCTATGTATAGGTCCCCAGATTCTTTCTCTCTCAGGATGGTCATCTGGCCACTAGTGTACTAGGCCTTAGAAGGTAGAGAGTTTTCCTCCCACCCTCCACAGTGATCTGCCCTGCAGACCCAGCTTGCTGGCCAGAGTCCAGCCCCTAAATCTATCTGACCTCACCTCCTTAGAAAGTACATTTTTCTGGCTCGGTACCTGTAGCTCAGCGGCTAGGGTGCCAGCCACATACACTGAAGCTGGCGGGTTTGAACCCAGCCCAGGCCTGCCAAATAATAATGACAGCTACAACCAAAAAATAGCTGGGCATTGTGGAGAGCGCCTGTAATCCCACCTTCTTGGGAGGCTGAGGCAACAGAATTACTTAAGCCCAGGAGTTTGAGGTTGCTATGAGCTGTGACACCATGGCACTCTACCCAGGGCGACATAGTGAGACTCTGTCTCAAAAAAAAAAAAAAAAAGCAGCACCTGGGGTTCAAGGGGCAGGCGCCTATAACCCCAGCTACTTGGGAGGCAGAGGCAGGAGAATCGCTTGAGCCCAGGAGTTGGAGGTTGCTGTGAGCTGTGATGCCAAAGCACTCTACCCAGCACCTCCCTTGAAAATATCTCTCTCTTAAGGGTTCCAGTACTGACACCTTCTGACCCAGATGTATTAGAGACCCTGGACCTGCCTCTTTTGCCTTACTCCCACCTCTTTACCATAATTCCTCTATCTGTTGGTCCTAATACAATCTCCAAAGCCTTGACCAACAAATCCAGGCTCCTCGGCTCCTCTCCCTATCTGGATGTTGCTCCTTCAGAGGACAAGGCATAGCCTTGCCCTTCCTGATCACAATCCTGGAATTCCACCTCACGAACTGTAAACCCACCCTCCTAATCCTCCACCTCACCTACACAGTGTTTCCCTCAGCAGGCCCCACCCCTCACGACTTAGATTTAAAACCTCAAAGATTCAAGATATCCCTCCTTCTTGATGAGATCCCCAATCCCAGGAGGCCACCCACAGGTTCTGGGCCCTTCCTCACCAAGAATGACCCCAGAGGACCCGGTAGGCTCCCCACAGCCTAGGCCTTACACCTCCCCTCCCCACAGTTCTCCGGGCGCATGTGCTGGCGTCCGAGGTGGGAGACCAGGCGTGGCGGCAGCTGGCTGTGCGTGTGTTGGCAGTGTACAAGCAGCCAGCACGGCCTGTGCGCCGTGGCGACCAGGACGCCTGGGTACCCCAAGTCGACCTGGCCTGTGGCTGCCTGCGCCTGCGGCCAGGCACCGACTACCTGCTGCTGGGCAGCGTCAGCCGCAGCCCAGATCCGGCGCGCCTCGTTCTCAACCGCCACGGCCTTGCTCTTCCCTGGAGGCCGCTCTGGGACCGGCCGTTGCGGCAGCTGCAGCAGAAGGAGCGTGCTGGAGGCTGCTACGACCTGAGGCCTCAGACTCCAAGGCCAAGGCCAGAGCTGGGGCTGCCTTGAACGCCAACAAAGGAACTTGAAAGTAACGGTAAGAGCGGCCTTCCACCTACACCGGAGTGTCTGTGGAGAGCCAATCAGACATCGCCGAGCCCCTGGCGACACTGTGCATGCGCCAGCACCGCACAAGCATGAGGGACTTTTAACAAAAGGTGGCAAACAGAGAGTGGGACTTTTCATCGAGCAGTCCTTCATTTACTCTGTGGCCTATTCCCCGCCTCTGATCTATTCCCACAATAAAGTCTCAACTCTTGAGGAATTTCAGCTATAGACCCCCTGATGAGTGCTAGGACCCTCTCTAGGGGCAAACGGAAAAGGCCTTGAGTAAATATGCGGCACTTGAAGTCATGACTACAACCTCGTGACAAAGTAGCAGAGCCAATGAGAGGCCCTATGATGTCACTGGGTGCTGGTCAGATTTGTGTTGCCTGAGATTAGGCCGAATGCCAGTGGAAGGGACGGGGCTGGAAAAGGCAGGAAATCCAAGGAAGGAAGGAATAGCAATAACATATTTCCAGAAAATAGTTCCAGACTTAGGAACTATTGGTTCCTGATGGGCCTCAGGGACTTTGAGCAATTATCTGAAAAGCGTTCTGTAGGTTTACCTGGTCTTGAAGCACAGTGTAAACTCATTCCTGAGAAAATAACCAATTGGGAGCCACAGAGTTGAATGACATCACTTAGTGCTAAGCAGATTTGTACCCCTGTTCAACAGCAGGGTACCTATAGGCTAGAGGAGTAGAGCTGAAAAGGCAGGAAGCTTTACATGCCATATATGGTACAGAAGGTTGTCACAACCTAGGACCCTCCTTGTCACCCTGACCTCTGCCCTTGAATCCACAGCCAACACAATTTCAAATTGGGGTGATCTTTTCAAAAGAGTCACTGAAGGGTTACATTGAAGAAATCTTAGAGAAAGGGATGTAATTTAAGGTCCTTTGGACCTGAAGACCAACCCAATTCCTTCCCTGAGAGAAAACTGAGGCTCTCAGCTAATAAGGAATCAGAGTGGGGCATTATGTCACAGGATGCTAAGCAGACAGAAAGGTACCATCCAGCAAACATTCTGGGTTTGCTCTTGGTAAGACTGAACAAGAAAGGGCATTACATCCAGAGGGTGAGCATTTGACCCCCAAGCCAACAATAAAATTTTATATCTGGAGAAATTTGCCTTTAGCTTCCAGCTGAGCCCAGGGTGGGGACATCTCTGAAACAGGAGTCTTTAAGGAGTTTTCTATATTCCTTATCTTTGCTCTTGAAGGCAATCTTTTTTTTTTTTT